TTTTTACACTGTTCATCTCCAATGTTTCACCGTTTGTTTTATTTAGATTTTTTTTGTTAGTATTTTTATTGTTATTAGATGATAAAACATGAATAATAGTTTATGTGTGACTAATTTTTTATATTTTTTTCATAAAATTTTTAAATAAGATGGATGGTCAAACATTGAACACGGATATACTTTGATCATTGACTGAATCCGATAGACTTTGAACCTATATGTCAGCAACTAAGACACGGTGATTTCGAAGATAGAAATTCTTGATCCGTGAAGTGAACGGCATGGAGCGTGAATAATATGGGCCAAGTGTGAACCTATCTTATGTGGGAGTGGGACGACGTGCTGCACGGTTCGTCCCTACATATGATGCAAGCAACAGCAAACCCGACGCTGGAGGATGGATGGATGGCTGGCTGGATGCTCATTCTCATTCTCATTCTGTTTCTCCTTTCACGGCTGGTGTTTCTTTTCCCACGGCCTCAGGCTGGCTATGACCTCGTTTAAACGAGTTTTTTTTTTTACGAATCGACGAGGCTGTTAATTTTATTGAATAAAGGAGACGAAAAATGTAAAAAAAAAGAGGTAAAGTATAGAAAATAAAAAACCCAGGGCCGTGGCCCTAACTATAGGCAGTTACATTGTCAACCAGACGGCAAGATTTTTTGCGCCCGCCAACCCCCATGTTTTTGCTTCCTCCTTTGTCTTGGCTAGCAGAGTTAGCGACGACAGCTCCTTGTGCTGGAAAGTCCTCCGGTTCCTTTCGTTCCGTTTAAACGAGTTTTACACTATAAGAAGCAGCGGATGAGAATACATAGAAAAGAAGAAAACAAACATTTAACTTCTAATTTATCTTATATATTTTACCATTATAGATTCTTATAATATAGACAAATAGCTAAACTATTTGTGAAGAAAAAAATTAAAAAAAAACTGAGCTACCAGGATATCTCTAAAGGTGTGTTTAGTTCACGCTAAAGTTGAAAGTTTGGTTAAAATTAGAACGATATAACGGAAAAATTGGAAGTTTGTGTGTGTAGGAAAGTTTTGATGTGATGGAAAAGTTAGAAGTTTAAAGAAAAAGTTTAGAACTAAACTCGGCCTAAACAACGGAACCTACATGTCGTGTCATAGGAGCCCTATGACATCAACCATCTCCTGCATCTCTATGCACAGATGGCTGATTTGATCTCATCTTTTCACTTATATTTATACTTATCAATTAAAATTTAAATTTTTAGCTTTAAATTTAAAGTTGATTTTGATTTTTTTTTTATCAAAATTTATTTTTCAGTCTTTAAATCGTTAAAAACACTTATATAAAAAAGTTTTAGGTATAAATTATTTTTTATTTACAAATATGTTGTTTGAGGCCGTTTTTCAGTGCGAAGTGAACAACTGCATGCCAAACGCATCGCCGGAGAAGGAAGGGGAAACCGGTGACGGTGAGAGTCATTTAAGGCGTTCTGGTAGCCTACGCTTTTTATTTTTTTTGGCAGTTGGCCTGCATCGGTGACCAACCCCCGAATGAAATCAACCGTTGCAATCTCGCAATTTCTTTCTGTTGGAACGCCATTGATTTCTTTCTCCCCCAAGACTAATTAACATGTGGATGTGGTGTCATCTTTCTTCCAGCCACCAACCCACCGCAGGAGAAACTCTCCAGTCAACTTGGTTTTGAAAAACGCGATGAGTGTTCTGATGATGTGTACAGTACGTGCTTCGCCCCGCACGCCGCGGCGCCAAGGAACTTCGAATAATTTACCGAGTTGTATACAGGCCGCTGCCGCTGCTGAGACTGAGACCGTGCTTGCTAAATTGATCGTCCTCATTGTGTCGCGCTCCTTCCACGTAGGGCTGATGTTTCTTTTCGTATGGCCTCTGACTATGACCTCATTTACACCGTGTTTAGATCCAAAGTTTTTCTTCAAATTTTCAACTTTTTTATCACATCAAAACTTTCTTACACACATAAACTTCAAACTTTTCCGTCACATCGTTCCAATTTCAACCAAACTTCCAATTTTAGCGTGAACTAAACACACCCTTAAACGAGTTTTACACTATGAGAAGCCGGGGAGGAGAATGTATGCAAACAAAGAAAACAAACATTGATCATCATATGATAAGAATCCAAAATTTCTCAAATTGATCATCATATAACTACATGAACACGGATTTCGTCGGAATATAATTAATGCAATATAAGTGAATGTGTGCATGCTAGAGTGTAATTGGCATGGGGTTTTAAGAGCATGTACAATAGTGCTATTAAGAAGGCTCCAAAACTTATTAATCAGCCTAATACGAGATTAGAAAAAGAAAATCGCTAGGAGAGAAACAAATGGGCGCTTGTTTTAGCGCTAGCGCTTGCACAGCACCCCATGCAGTATCGGTCACGGGAGATGAGAAAAAAAATGCTAGGTGGGTCCCACACGAAAAAAAAATGTTATATTTAATGTATGTATGCTTTAACCAAGGCAGCTTATAGCTAACTTGTAGTTAATTAGCATGTTGTATGAGTTGGCTTTGTAAGTTAGCTCTACCTTGACATGATAAAATTTTGGAGCTTGCCGCTAGCTGCACTATTGACCTTGCTCTAATCAATGCATGTATTGTGGGAGAATGTGTGCATGGTGTCTTCATTGATGTGATTAGTTTTGGTGTATAAACTTATATGATGATCAATTTGGGAAGGAGGGAGTGCTATTCACAAGGTTTTTCTTAGGCCCTGTTTAGTTCCCAGAACAAAAATTTTCACCCTGTTACATCGAATGTTTGGACACATGCATGGAGTATTAAATGTAGACAAAAAAAATTACACAAATTGGGTGTAAATTACTAGACGAATCTTTTAAGCCTAATTGTGCCATGATTTGATAATGTGGTGCTATAGTAAATATTTGCTAATGATGGATTAATTAGGCTTGATAAATTCGTATCGCGGTTTCTAGGCAGAATTTGTAATTTGTTTTGTTATTAGACAAAGTTTAATACTTCAAATGTATATCCGTATATCCGATGTGACACCCCAAAACAAAAATTTTTGTCATCTAAATAAGCCCTTACTTCCTCCATCCCAGATAAACAAATTCATAGTGTATCATATTTGTTTATTTTAAGATGGATATAGTCTTGTTTTAAGATGGGTTTAGGAAAGAAGGTTAGAAACTTCTCCTATGCACCTAAAACAGGGTAACTCATTACCACATGATTAATACTTACTAGGTAAAACAATACCGAAAAATAGATTAATATGATTAAAAAAAAGTCTTCCCTATCAACTTTTTTACTTTTTATTAAAAACATACCTCATCCGTCTTAAAATATAAGAACTTTTAGTTGGATGGACACAGATTCAACGTACTAGGATCTTATATTTTGGGACACAGAAAGTTATTATATTTTGGGACGTAGGGATTATCTTCTAACCGTTCATAGAACGTTTGCGTGAAAAACGAGAAAATAGAAGTTGAGACATGTACTTTCAAACATATCTTTATTCTCCTTTTGAATAATAGGTTCCCAACTTTAATTAGTCATGACTTAATGAGTTACTCGTTCCATCTACTTTTGATAGTCATATTTCTAAATCTGAAAAATTTATTTTTGATAGGCATATTTCAATCCAACAACCTATCATCTTAATGACTTTCTCGGATTTAATACATGACTCTCTATTATTTCACACATGATTGGCTACAAGAGCATTGAGAAATGTAAATATTAATGAATTGCTTGTTTACGTGATTATAAAAGTAGATAGAGGGAGTATTTCGTTTTCTATACGGAGAAATGATTTACGAACACATCCAATTGTATTACGGTTACCGCGGCGTGCTGACTGACCGCTTACCAACCACGGTTCACACCCATCTTCCTGGATCAAACCGGCTAGTAAGCTAGTTCTGTGATTTATGAGTAATTAATTAAGAAGCATGCGATTATCTTTCTCATCATGTGCCAAAGATTCAGGGCGGCGAGGCAATCTCATATATTCTCAACGGACAAATAATAACAACGCTTTATCTGCAGCAGCCATCCGAATCCATCGGCGATGCACAGCGAATGCATTGACTCCGATGAGTACTACTGTACTTGATGGTGTTCTAGAACTGAAGGAAGGAATGAATTCGGTTTGAGTCCGTGAGTGGTTGATTGATACAGGTAGTACCACTGTACCACCATTTGTGGGGTTCAGTTTGGCATCCAAGTGATTGTGCTGATTAATTGTCTCATTGTTCAGCCAATCAACGGTACAAGATGAGATGAGATGAGAGGATGGGCTGTTATCTCTGATGTGTTTTCTGCCTCTCATGTCATCATCAACTCGCCCATAACTTAAACCATATTATTTTTAGGGATTTAGGGATATTCAGTTTATTTACCATTTTCAAGCCTAACTAATTTTAGTAATATTAAAATTTTGTAAAGTTTGATAATGCCACAAGATTTGGTAATAAGGTAAAATTATGTATGCAGTATTGTTTAGTTTGTTACCTTGTAAAGAATAATTTGGATGATTACCAAATTAATTTTGGTATGGTAGGATGTGATAGGTTATTCGAGACATGTTTGGATTGTTGTCATTTTAAATTTTGGCAATACCAAAATTTAATATGTTTGAAAATAGTAAAAAAAAAGTGAACACGCCCTTAGTTTATTTATCCGATTATTGAAATGGCTTATTTATTTTATGCTTTGAAAACCAATTTCCTTTTAGAAAAATAGTACTGTAATTGATCAGGCTATTTATTTTAACTTATTTATAAAGTTCATCTTTTAAAATACTTAATCTATTTTAAAATTGAGTAGATAACTTACGACGATAATCCAAATCAAACAAACCTAACTTTAACACTGCAAGAGAAACCGACAATTATAGCGAGTAAAGGAATCAAGAGATACGTTATCATGGAAACGGTAAGTACTGAAAGATTAGCGAGCATACATTAAAACGGCAGGTAAAAAACCCAAAAACCGAACCGGTGAACGTGGACGCGAAAAAGGGCAACGTGCAAAAAACCTTCCTCAAATCCAACCTCCGACCGCGTCAATGGCCGCCCAATCACACGTCCCCACGTGTCCCCCCTCACCTCCGCCTTCTTAACCTCGCCACCTCCTCCTCTCCTCCCACCTCGCCTCTCTCTCCTCTCTCTCTCTCTAGTTTACTTTTCTTGGAGCCACCAAGAAACCAGCCATGTCCGTGCTCGGTGTCTTCTTGGCGTCGCTGCTTCTGGCGGCGGTGGCGCCGGCGAGGGCGGCAGGAGGGGGGTGCGCGGCGGAGAGGTTCAGCAGCAACCGCGTGTACGCGGCGTGCAGCGACCTGCCCCACCTGGGCGCGTCCGTGCACTGGACCTACGACGCCGCGGCGTCGGCGTCGCTGTCCGTGGCGTTCGTCGCCGCGCCGCCGTCGCCCGGCGGGTGGGTGGCGTGGGGGCTCAACCCGACCGGCGGCGGGATGGCCGGCACGCAGGCGCTCGTCGCGCTGCCCAAGGGGGGAGGAGGCGGGTACGAGGTCCAGACGTTCGACATCGAGGGGTACTCGCTCTCCGCGCCGGGGAAGCTCAAGTACCCGGCGACCGACCTCGCCGCGGAGGTCGCCGCCGACGGCCGCGTCAGCGTCTTCGGGAAGCTGGCGCTGCAGAACGGCACCGCCGAGGTGAACCAGGTCTGGCAGGTCGGGCCGGTCTCCAGCGGGTCCATGGTGCCGCACGCCATGAGCAGCGACAACAAGGCCGCCATGGGGAAGCTCAACCTCCTCACCGGGGCAGCCACCTCTTCCGGCGGCGGCGGCAGCAACCTCAGGAAGAAGAATGTGAGCACTCTTCAATCTTGATTTCTAGTATCATTTTGTTTGCCTTTCTTGAATTCCTAATCAAATTTGAGTGCACAAATCAAATTGTAGTTAGAAAAGGGGGGCGATTTCAGCTCGAATTCCACCAGGGAACTTAACTCCAAAAGCTAAAATCCTGGGGATTTTTTTTTTTAGCAAAAGCTCTCATATTGTTGTTTTCTTTTATTGCTTTATGAATTAGCAACAGTAGTGGTTACTGAAGTCTGAAGCGGTACTGGTATGAGTCAATTTAATTTGAAGTATATGCTTATGAGGTGGTAGAGCGTTGAAAAGAAAGAAAAAAACAACACATTTTTTAATGCTTAAGAGTCAATCTTTGGTTAAAATAATCTTTCCTGCTTCTGTTGCCATGTGAAATGCTCAAATGTTTATACATATGTTCGACTGTTATATCCTGGTTGGTTTGAGATGATTTCAACTGTGTTAAAATCTGTAGGAATAAGATGACGTTTGCTGACTGATTATGTGTGACAAAATGCCTTCTTTGCTTCCGTACTACACACTCAAATTTCTATGCTTTCAGATTGCAATTTTCTTGCCTGTATTGGTTTCTTCCTGCTTTGGTGGACTTCAGCACGATTTGTCTTTCCTGTTGATGGCTACATCGAAATGCTCATTTCACACAATGCAAATTCAGTAGAGAGTAGGGAGCCGTGGTGTTATTGATGTTCTAGTGAAGGGATCGATCTTTGGTTGCAAACCAAACAAGCTTTTTCTTCTTCTGTTGATTCACATTCACAAATTGCTTGACCATATTGATAATGATATTATGATGTATTACTAATTGGTTCAAACTTTTTTCTAATTTTATATGTGCAGACCCATGGAATCCTGAATGCTGTTAGCTGGGGTCTTCTACTTCCCATGGGAGCCATATTTGCTAGATATCTCAAGACATTCAAATCCGCCGATCCCGCGTGGTTCTACCTTCATGTAGCTTGCCAGCTGATTGGTTATGGTGTGGGAGTTTCTGGCTGGGCCACTGGCATTCATCTAGGTAACCTGTCTAAGGGAATCACCTATTCGCTTCACAGAAACATCGGGATCACAGTATTTGCGCTTGGTACCCTACAGGTATGTTCTATTGCACACATTGTTATGACCTCTTTATCTGCCAATATTTCAAGCCCATTTTGTGCAATTGTACGATCATACTGATTGTTCTATGTGCACTCTTTCTTGAAGATCTTTGCGCTTTTCCTGAGGCCCAAGAAGGATCACAAATACCGTATCTACTGGAACGCCTACCACCACTCGGTCGGTTACACCATCATCATACTCGGCATCGTCAACATCTTCAAAGGGATGTCCATCTTGAACGTGGAGCAGAAGTGGAAGACGGGCTACATCATCACGATCAGCATCCTGGGTGGCATTGCCGTGATCCTGGAAGCTGTTACATGGAGCATCGTCTTGAAGAGGAGGAAGGAGGAGAACAAGTCCTATAACGGCGCTTCAAACGGTCACTTGCCACTCTCTATGTAATTCTTGTAGAGGCAGGAGGGACTTGTGATCCCTACTTATATATTCAGGAGGCTATATTCAGTTATGTTTATGCTTATAGGATTAGGCCTTGTGATCTTGGTATCTCTTCTTTTGTATGATATTTGTATACTGCACACTATACTGGAGATGAGAGATGCCAGTACAGCTTGTTTGATTTTTTGTTCTGTTTGTGAATTGCTGAGTTGAACATCCACTTTGTATGATTTTGGTGCCATTACAAATGTTCCTTTTGGAAAAGTTGGGCAAAGGTGTCCCAAGTGGTTGGTGAATTGGAGAAGAAAGATGCAAGAAAATGCTTGCTAGTGGAAGCATGATCTCTCTAGAAAGTTTGATGCTCGTAGCAGCCTAGCAGAAAGGAAAGGGTACTGAATACTCCATTTGCTGCTATGTTTTTGTGTTGTTCAAGAAACTGAAGGGAGTGTGGTGATGTCAGATTTCACTTTGTTTCAGTAGCAAGGAAACAAAATGTTTGGCTATTGTTTCTTCAATTATTAGCTTCATTCAGAAGAGTGGCATGTGTCCAAAACATGCAAATAGAATCCATCTAAAATAACTGTGAACATGCAAACAACTGAATAATTGACATATCATGGCAGTTTTAAGTTTGATGTAATAGCAATTTGTCTGCTTTCCATGCAGACAACTTTATTCAAGATTTTGTGCCAACTGGTCCATGCATTAGAGTGACTCCATTGAAAGAATAGTACACCCTCCGTTTTTTTTATATAGACGGCGCGTTCACTTTTAAACATATGTTTCACTAATCATTTTATTCAAATTTTAGTTTACAAAATGTAAAAAATTAAGTAATGCTTAAAGTACCTTTTATGATAAACCAAATCACAACAAAACAAATGATAATTACTTTTTTTTATAAGACGGATGATCAAACGCCAAAAGTCTACAACGTTATCTATTAAAACCAGAGGAAGGGAGTAGTAGTTAGAGTGGAGTGTGTGGTTCAATCAGACTCAGCTAGGAGTCCTGAGCAGAAAAAGGGTTTGTGGCGCGTGATTTAGTGCAGGTCAGTTCACAACTTTCTTGCTTGCAAATAGGAGAAAAAAGATGCTAGATGTTGTGGCAAACCAGGGAAAAAGTTCAGAAAGCAACGACCTTGGCGAGATCTGTGACATCAGAGATGCCCCTAGCTAGCTGATTGCACAGATCGCCAGCAAACAACCTCATGTCATGTGAATCCCCTGCGAGTGTTCGAGTGATCATGCTATCTGGCACTAATCAACTAAACCAAACGTTAAACCCTTGTTGCAATGATGCTAATCTGCTATTATCAGGTGTTAAAAAAAATGCATTTTTGACTGCAACATTTGGCGAACTCTGATGCACCTCGTTTATTTAAGTGTAAAGATGTTGAATCATTGACTCCACAACTACTACAAGTTAGATATAAAGATGATGAATCATTGACTCTCTACAAGTAAGAGATAAGTAGATTATTAGTAGTGCTCAAGACGTGCAGACATTGTTCCAGAATCCTCACTTTCCAGATGGTCTCTGAACTCACTGGTAAACACCTACCAACTCAAAAAATTAATTATAGTAGACGACTTCACCAAAACTGTCCAAAAGGGTTTCCAGCAGTAGTGGATCCACAACATAAATGCCTGATCATTTGTGAGTGACACACCTTCTAAGTGAACTTGGCCAAACTCAACTACTCCTGCATTTTCTGAACTATTAGTATTAAGCTGCAGCAAAATCAGGTAGAAAACCAAATTATGACCAAATCTCTGCATCACTGAACTTAGATGACGAATTGACAATGCAGTCCATATGATTTGACCTAGCCTAACTCATTGATTTTTGTCATCTCTGAATCTAAACGTCATGTAGCTCTCAACTCAAACCCTTTTCAATTTTCTAATCGTTAGTCATGTTCAAACCAGAATTCCATCAGATTGTCAAAGCTACCAAACAGTTTGGTTGTGTTGAGTATGACCCATCATCACTCAGTAGGGTTCATGCAAAGTCAGTTTTGCTTGAGCTTGGCTCAAACTTCCATCTTAGCTCAACCAGAACTTTTTGGGTGGTCTCCTTCAGTTGAGTAGGTAGAACTGCATCCATCTCTGGAACAAGTTGCAGGTCAGAAGGAGAGTTGAGCTGTATTAGGCCTGAAAAAATGTTCAGAAGTGACTAGCAAGCATCAAAAGCGACTCATGGATTAGAAAAGCTTTTGCTGCTTTATGGAAGGAAGCAATTCTTGTTGAGCTATAGTAGAACAGTGCAATGTGTGCAGTAGGAGCAAAGCATCAACTAACTCCAAACATCTTATTCTCAACAGCAGACAGCTTGGATGGTGCTATCAAGTTCCCAGCAATCCTGCAAAGCTGGTATTTGTTGAACTGCCTGAATATTAGTTTCTGGAAGAAAAAAAAAAGGGGAAGATATGTGCCTGTTTGGATGCTTTCAGACAGATTGGAATCTTGTTAACAAAGGACATAGCCCACACAAATTGCATGTACCATTTGCTGTAAAACAAAGTAAAAGAAGATTCGCAATAATTCATTGAAGTAAAATTATAGTGTTGATCGGTCACAACTCACAACAACTTCTGAAAGGAAAAGACTCGAAGTAACTTTCTTTGTATTCAACCTGTAAAGAATATTTTGTATCACCATGTGTCCTCTATAAAAAGAAGAGGAAAAAAAAAAACTACATGAGATATCTTGTAACTATGCACACATTTCCTTTCTGATGTTACTCAACGAATGGTGAGAAGTCAGTGGTGAATATCTACAGAATTAACAGTGGGACACCTTAATTCTCCCTTTGGTAAGTAACGTAAGACTCAACTCCTATACAGAACTGCTACACCAAACAGACAAAAACACACAGACACACTCATTTTTACATGTTTCACAAGGGGCACAAATCATGCACCTCTGAGCTGCCGAATGGCTTAAAGTCAGAACGTTGCAAATAATTCAACGGATTCTTCTTTGAACTTCTTGTAGATGCTTCACCCGATAGAACATCAACGGATGGGGTTGTGATAGACGGTGGATTGATGGGCGGGGATGCAGAAATCGTTGAGCAGCAATGCCTGACATTGATCCTGTGTGTAATGGTTTCAGTTGAGGTGCTACCTGTTACATTGACCAAAAGAACGGCCTCCTTATCTCTGGTGACTTCGCACCAACAGTTCTGCAGTACTCCATTGACAAATACTTCTTGGGTGTAATAGTCTTCATGGTGCACGGTAACTTCCATTGTTTGCCCAGGTTCAATGAGACCAACTGATGGTTCAACCTGTAAAACATAGCACGATGAATGATTAAATTACCAAATATTGGTACTGTGAAAAGCAAAATGGAACATGCAAAGCACTGAAAAATATAATAAACTAGTATAACACTCAAGTCAAAAGGCTTGTTATGAATGGTTAGTGGTAGCAGCTGTTCTTGTCTGTTGACTGTCATGACAAACTGGTCAGTCAGCAACTCCACTGAGATCCATATCCAGTTTAGGCTTATATGGATGGGTTAAATGGCAGCCCATCCACGTGTATGGGATGGGTTGGGAATTTGAGCTAAAATCCTAGCCCATAGATGTGGATAGGCCAGGATTTGGGTTCATGCAAATGAGGCATTAGGATTTTTGGCTGAAACACATTTATGAACTGAGCACTGACAGATATGATCATATGATGTTGTCTATCAACTCATGCAAAGTTTGGTATGATTTTGACCAAATATATGTCCACAAAGAGTATCCTAAATGACCACTAGAAGACAATACATGCAACCAAACCTGAGCCCACCTCCATGACTGTCTAGGTACAAGGTGATCGAAATTGTGTTTCATCTCATTTGCTTTTGCAATTTTTTTCCTTCAGTTTGCTTTCTCATAATTAAAAGAAAGTCTGATATAGTTCTCACAAAGAGGTTGGAGTGCAGCTGATACAGAAAGTGCATGTCATAGAAGTAAAATACTCCATCCCTTCTCTTTTACATTATGTGAGGGGAGTATATAGGTTCCATGGTTGTCCAAAATTCATATTCTAGAATGACAAGATATCTTCTATATTTATGAGCTAAATTTTATTTTAGGTCTTGCAAACTGAATACATAATGGACAGACTTTCTATGGTTTTGAACTTAACAGGCTTTCTATATACAAGCAAAAGAATGGTCAACACTACAGATAGAAATAGAACACTCAACTGAGAGTGTAACACTATGGGTTTTCTTTTTTCTTAATAAGGGAAAAACACAATGGGTTTTAAGACTAAACAAAAGAAAAAAATGAATGCAGGAATAAACAAATAAACATATTAATGCATACCTCAAGCCAAAGCGGCAACCCAAAGGATGCCCTTGGAGGAAACTCGGATTTAGTTCCATCCTGCTTGCTGATTGACTGGCTTTCACACAGGATTTCAAAAGCAGCCTTGTTTCTTTGACAATCATTTGTTATCCGGAGGACAACATGTTCTTGGTTTTCCAAAATTATATTGTTTGTGCTGATTATAGTGTCTGGAACAAAATGGGACTCTCGAAGCAAACTGTGTAATCTTTTGTCAGATTGGAGTATTTTTCCATATTCCTGTCTTCTTGTAAACTCATCCACTCTTGCAATATCAACACTAAATGCACACCTCACTGGTTTATGATCACTATCTGTGACACCCATGCAAGCTTCATACCTACCAGAAGAGCAATAAAACATCAAATTATGTATGAGGGAGTGATTATGATCAAGACAAAACAACATGTGTGTCTTAGATTCTCCTTCTCAAAACGAGTGGTAACTGGTAAGTTGTAGAATCTTACGATGTAATTTTAGCAACAACAGGGCATTCTAATGAGCACTCTGCTGTTAATACATCACGGCTATCTCGATACAGTATTCTGTCGCACCAAGCAGGTATTCTCTTCTTCTCACCCGAGTCATATCCTAATTATTTTTGGTGTGGAAAAATTAGCTCCAAAGCAGTTGCGTCAATTTAATCAGCACATAAAAGAACATTTGAATCTTGTGACAGAACTGGAACTATTTAATTAAGGAGGTGCCGCTAGCATCAAAAGTAAAAACAGGCCATACCTGCAAGACCTGGTAGGTGTCTTTGGAATTTGTAAGTCGGAGGAAATCTGATCAAACCTTCACGCATTCCTTGGAAAACCTTTCCTGCCCTCATTTCTGCTTGAAGTTGATCCCTTTCTTTAAGCCAGTCAAAGCTCCTTTGAGAGACCATGTCCCTTGC